TGGAGCCCAGAGCGAGAAGAAGGTGATCTGTTTTCAATAGATCTCTCAGTTCCTTTGCTTTTCTTCTGCTGGATGTCTTCTGTTTTCCTTCATGTTGGACCAGGGTTTCTCCCATACCAGGCAATCAAAGCATGAACAGGACGAGGGAGGGCTCAACATCAGCGTGGATTTCCAAAGCAGCAGGCGGGTTGAAAGGAACAGGCATTTGGAACCCGTTCCATAGTTATTTGTAGTTGTACAAATGTTATTCGACAACGTTATCGAGCGCGATCTTGCCTTCTTCTGCCTAGTCGAATTAGGCGCGCCACGCATCGATGATCTGCTCCGGTCCCGATCTCTTCTCCGGCTCCCCTCCTCATGTCACTTTGCTACGCGATACAGGAATAACATGATACGAAAGTTTTCTGATGAAAATCTAGTCAAATGTCAAGGAAAATCAAACGAAGCCAAACATCCGCTGTAAAGCTGCCCAAAAAGTGAATGAAAACAAAGGTGATTGCATTGATGCATAGGCGTTATACGCGACTGTTTTGGTACAACAAATTGTAACGAAGCAGCTCATAGTGCGACAGTTGGCGAGGGAGTGAATGAGGAGGTGAGGGCCGAGACAAATTCGCAATGATCACCTTCGACGGCACGGCTGTTAACGCGATTCATCATTGTGTTGGACCACCAGACAAATTGAGGCTAACCGGGGCGCGGAAAAGACGCAGTGGGGACGATGAGCTCTAAGAAGCTCTCTAGGTGGCCATGGCTGTCCTCAATTCTTCAAGCTTGTCACCACCCAAGTGGAGGCGGAAAACCACAGAAACCCGTCCCCTGTACGTTTATAAAGGCCGAATAAGGAAGTTTCCACGCAATTATCTTCGAAAGGTTTCCGCTCGCCATGTGATTTGTATCAGGAGTGTAGAAGAGCGCTTGAGATGAAAGAGTTCGCAAACGACTCACACGAGATAGCGACAGGTAGATTATACTGATGAGAGCTATGTAGTGGGTGCACGGGCAGACAGGGCGGCGGTCAGATCTGAGTGATGACAGAAGCCGCGACGAGACATAAACTACCGATCAGTGATGGTTGTTCAGTTCACTACCGTGGGCTCTTCAAATCATATGATCGAAGCAGTCTGGGTCTCATAGTAATCACCGTAGAATCAGATGATTATTTGAACGTACTTCTGAATTATTGTTACTGCCTATTGGAATATAATGGCAGGGAAACCATAGAGGGTTCCTCGCCATTTTCTGGCATGGCTGTTCGATGCTTATGCATATCGCCTTCTCAGAAGATGTATTTGTTGTTTCACAAGAAGCGAGGTTATGAACAAAACTATCGCCCCAGGCGAGACTCGAACCCGCACCTCTCGCTTTACCGGGCTAGTGGGCTACCAAGTTACGCTACCGGGGCACCATTTCATTAATTTATTTTTTATCT